TCTTTCAGGGAGTCGCAATCTCTTGCCCAGCAAAAGGATAGTTTACATAGGATAGTTTACACAGAAGCCATCCACATGCAGATGATGCAAAAGCCAAACAATGCATTTCTTGCATCACCACCCGCTCCAAAATCACAAAAACATCACCTCCAAACAACCTCCAAAGCCTTCCATCCGTGCACCCTCCTCCCCCAGCATGTGCCGAGTTTACGTGTACCTTTTGCGGGCCCACCCCCCCCAAACCCCCTAACCTGTTCACTTCGTTCGCCTTCTACGAAGGCTGGCTTTCGTAATTAACGCCCCCTCCCAAGGAGGAGCTAGTTTGTTTGCATAGCAGCCGGATGGCGGGATAACAGAAGAGTTTGTCTCAAAGAAGACGATTTCGTCAAAGTCAACATCGACATATTCGGTTCCTCCTCTTCCTTGTCCTCCTCTGCTGCAATCGCTGCCGGTGCCTGCAGCAACGGCTCAGCACGAAGCAATTCAATGCAAATGCAAATGCAACGTGCTCCTCCAAACCATTTATGAAAGGAATCAATTACTGATATGTGTCTGAGTGAGTATATACATATATATATTTACATGTTAGTATACAACTCTCCCATGCATGGATGATCTAGCATCTATCCAACCTACCAGCCGAACGTTAGTTCCTTTGAGAATCATGGCCCGCGGTCCCAAACTCCCTCAGACAGACTCAAAAGCACGAAAAAGTCCACCCTACCTCTTCACACACGCGGCTTCGGACCCGAAGCGGGTTCCCTTCCCAGGAGCATGGTCCGCCAGAGGAGATCGTTGATAGATATTGGGTTTTATCCCATATTGCCAGTAACAGTAGGTAGATGATGATGATGATGATGATCAGTAAAGGCCTTGTGCAAAACTAGTGATGTTCGTGTTTACTGGACGGCTCTGCAGGTAAATTCGGACAAACCCAGGATCGGTCATTGATAGATAGGCTGATGCGTACGATCGACATCTGTACATCAATCTCCTGAACACTTCAGCCACCTTGAGTGCGAAAATCCCCAAGGTGAAAGACTGTGGTCTGAGCTCCTTGCCTGAAACAAGCTGACCAACTCCCGGGGAGCCAACGACCCGCTCCGCTTCGCAAAGGAAAAACAAACGACCCCGGGAGGTGCCAAGCCAGCAGGGTGAGCCCGGTGACCGATTCATATCCCGACTGCCGAGAAACGGCCAGGGGTGGTGCCAGGGGGGTCAATGGGGCGGCATATACGTATCATATACAATATAATATACTTATAATATTATATATATAATTATATAATATATATATATTCCAGTCCCATGGAGTGTCTGGGTATGATTATCATGTAGTGTACCAGCATCGGATCATGCCAGCGAAGGACATCAAGGACGAGCACTGACAAGCAAAGCAATGTGTGGAGACAGGCGCAGCTGCAAGAGTGCTGCTCACTCAGTCCGCGGGCCCAAAAGATGATCGACCTCCAAAGCGCCCCCTCAGAGGGGCACAGGGTATGGAGTGATCGAAGGAAGGCAGGGCACGTCCCCAAATACGCAAAGCCATTTCGTCAGGAATCCAGCTGCAAACCCGGCAAAACCAGACACCCCAGGCGGGAAGAGAATCCCCGTTCGCTGCCACAATGGCGACAAGGCTCAACCCGGGTTTCCGCTGTGCTGCCTCCTCACTCTTCAGGGGGCCCAGGGGTACCAGGTAGTCAAAAGGTCAAAGCGACGGCACGACCCGCCGCATCCAAGGCCAGGCCGCCAAAACGGCATGCACCCTCCTGAGCAGGTCAGGTCAGGAAATCATCCTTGGAAAGGTTGATGGCAAGCGAGGGGGTCAAGTGAACCAGACCGTTTCAGCTAAGTCTGCAAAGCATGCGTTGAGACGACCAAGATCATCAGTACCAGCCCAGCAGCAGCTTTCCAGCCGAACAAATTAATTGGCAGGCCGTAACTGGTGGCGATCAGGCTGAACTGACCTGCCGGAGCTTGGAGGCGCAGCACTGTGCAGCAATATGCAACAATCCGTTACACCCGCCCAAAGCGAGAGCAGGGTGCAGCACCGTCCCAATTTCGCAGGTGACCTGATGAGTTCACTCTAGTCTCTCTACCAGCACCCCGAATGAAAGGGTGATGATTCGAAGGACAATTCGTCAGGGGGGGTTAGACAAAAACCACCCCCACTGGGTGGTGCTGGTACATACCAGTTGTCTCCCAGTTCGGTACCCCCCCGTGACCGGTACTTCTACGGGGTTCTATTCACGGGTCATTCGGTTACCCCTAGGGCCTCCAGTCACACCTTCGTTTCGAAGATGGGACTGGGTGGGTGCCAGGAGGGTCCAATTACCTTCTGAGGATGTACTTGGAGGTGTAGGGTACCTCTGTCGGTCCTTCCTCTTCCTCCTCAGCCCAGCCTCCGGGCTGCACCCGGCGCTCGCCAGGAGCTCTTTCCAGGCCTGGCACGGTTGACTCAGCTCGGCGTGTGAGATCGGAGCTGCTTCCCCACTTGATATATGGTTTATAAATGTTTGTAATATAGGGAAGAGCTACAGGACATCCACGGATGTCTTTCGGCAAGTGACAACTGGTAGGCCATTCCACCCATACAAGTTCAGCAGGACAAGGT